CCCTGCCTGGAATGCACTTCTAAAACTGTTTCAAAATAATATGATTTATATCCATACATGGTCAGATGCATGTGTGAAATACCAGTGGAAAAATATCAGTAAATTGTAAGCACAGGTTAATAAAGACAAGGAAATCACCTCTGCTGCTCTGAACACACTAGAGTTATTAATTTAGTATTCAAGGGGGAAAATAGAAAAAAAAATATATACAGCTATCAGAAGTGCTTTGAGCCACAGAAATTAACTTTGTCAATCAATAATATGTGGGGTGTTTTCTCTTTCAAAAAGAATTGTGTTTGATCTTTCCTTTGGCAATCAGTTACATTTGAAAGGCCAAAAGCAGTATCAATAGAATAACAATCTCATCCAAGATAAAAACCATATTTTTAAAAAAAGGAAATAAATAAATAAATAAATAAACAACAACAAAACAGAAAACTTTTCCTGAAGGCAGTAATTCATCACATACATAGATATCTGGCTATACAACCAGTCTCATGCTTCAGGTGCATGGGACTGGAATTAATAAATTTACAGCTACATACAGCATGAAATTCACAGTATCCAAGATAATCAGAGTTTCTTCCTGTACTTTATTTACTCAGTAAAAACCTAATTCCTGGAACTAACAGCTGGAAGCCACATCAATAGAAATATTTTACAATAAGTAGACTCACTCCAAAAAATAATGAAAACAGGAAACAAATTATTGAATTCTGTTTAATGTTTTCTTTCAGGAGCATAATCGTGGTAGTTGCAATTGTAGAGATCTGAGCAGAATCACTTAGTACTAAGGGCCAACAATAAATATAGTGATAAGGCCTGTATAATTAAGGATCATCATGTTAGATTCTTTCTAAAGATGAAAAGAAATTATTCAAGGCTTTTATAAGAAAAAGATTAGAACATGCATCACTTGCGTCAATTTGACAGTCTAATAAAGTATTCATTTATCTTTTTGTTTTTTCTGAACTTGTTTGCTTGTTTTGTAGGTATGTTATTAAAAACATGTTACATTTGTTACATGCTAAACAGATGTTAATTTCTGCTCCTAGTAAAATTCAGACATCTGGAGACCAGTTAATGAGATTAAGATGGCCAAAAGAAAAATAACTGAGAGGAAGAGTAAAACTTAAGAAACAAAAGAAATTGTGTTTCTTGTCACCTTCAGTTCTCTGGAGTCTTGAAAGGCTACTAGAATTTTATTTCTTTAGCAGAATATAGTAGACAATTAAAGTATTGGACACATTTTTTTATATATAATTTGGTTTTCCTCCCTCAAATGCACTCAAACTGTTGTAGCTGGATCAAGAACAGATCTGGAAACTAAAGCTGATATCCTCAAATCTTAACTGGTTGTAGGAAGCTCAGGTAGATTATCCCTTGAAAACAGCAGACCTAGCCACAGTTGCTTAGAGCACATGAACTTTTCATAGGCTGCAAGCTCAGGCATGTTCAACCTGTTCCTGGAACTGTCTCAAATTTATTCCTCCACTTTTTGCCATAGTCCTCTGTGTACAACAGAAACTGTGCTCTGCTGCTTAGACCTGAGAAGTTGGTCTTGGCAAACTCAGTAGTTCTTATTTTACCATTAGGTAAGGTGCAAATATATAACATTGTTGAGGTTTCCAGTTATTTTTTCATTTCAATATAAAATCTCATTGAAGAAGAAATTATTGTAAAATAAAACATTCATCAACTTTCAAATCATCTTTCAGGGTGATGATTACATGAAGATTACTCCTTTTAAACTTCAAAGTAGACAGTTTTAAAGCATTATTATAGTATGACAATGATCACTTGAAGATCATTTTAGAAACAGTGGGATGAACGTTTCTGAGGAATGATCATGTTTTGAAGAAATGCTATATTCAGAATTGCCAAATAGCAACTTAAAAATGTGTCCACCTTTAAATTGCCATTATTATATTTCTAGTAAAATATAAGTGTCTCGTATCTTAATCATAGTATCTCAAAGCAAAATGAAAGGGCTCTTTACCACCCATTCAAAAAAGTATTTGTGAGCAAGTTTACAGAAATCATTTTTTTTCAGACTTTAAAATACTTTTAACACATTTCAGTAACATTTTGTGCATGAAGTCATGGTTGGAGAGTTTTTATTATTTTGGTTTTAATTTCTATCTTTGTTGTTTTCTTGCTATTTTGGTTTGCATTGATTTGTTGGTTATTTTTTGTTCTTTTTCTTCCCTTATTATACATCAAATTTAACATGACAATTAGAAAATGATGCTTCCTGAAGTGCATAAGTTCTAAGCTGTCTTAGAAGGATGTTGGTAGGTTAAGTACAGGGATGGTGTTGTGCAAATGTGATAACATTCTCAGCTGTTGCAAGTTCATAATGTCACTATTTTCAATGAGCCACTGACTGACCTATTAACATGAATTAGGAGTTAAATATCACAGATGTTCTATATACCAATATTAACAGTATTATGGCAATATTATATGCAGTCTACTAATTGCTGGCAATTTAAGCAATCTGTTAAGTATAGCAATAATTCTTAACTCCACACAGATACTGATTGCCACTGTGTTCAATCTCAGTCTTTCATAAGTGGGGAAAATATCAGTACCAGCTGCAATCAGCCCACTTCTTTATTTCTATAAGACCACATCTTGTTGATCACTGTCATGCTTATAATTGCTGAAAAAACATTGTGCTAGGAGTCGCAGTCACCCTAAGTGATAGTAAGCCTAAGTGCTCCCAAAACTGCTTTAGTTCTTGGTAAGTTTTTACTGCAGAATCTAAGATCTCATGTCAGGAAAGCTTGAACAAACTTGCGAGTTTGTTGTCATACTTCTCATTCTGCCAAGCTTTTTAACTGAAAGTCAATTTTCTGTCCCAATACACTAAAACAACAAAACTGATTTATTTCCCTAAAACTGGAGTTTGGCAATAAAACCAGCCGGATATGATTAAGCATATCTTCAGATGATGACCACAAAGACAAATAAAAACAATAAATAGCATAAACAGTTCAAGATTTGTTTAAGAATATAGCAAAAGAGATGTTTCTAAAAAAAGCTTTTCTTAAAATTTCAAAAACATTGAGCAGATTTCAGTTTTTCCAAGTAATCAGTTCTAGAAATTGGCTCCCAGGGTAAAAAAATAAAATGGTGAAAGATAATATACTGTGAAGCCAACATACAGGGAGCAATCAAATTAAGACTACCAATTAACTTCAGAGTGCATTTCTTACATTATAAAGGAAAAATAATTGGAAATTATTAGTCAGGAAGTGGAACAGAAAACCAAAAAAAGAAACAAGGAGTGAAACAGAGTATAACAAGATTAATTTAGAATATAAACATTTCTTATATTGCTAAGTGTAAGCATATTTCAAACCCAAACATCCTGACATCTCTTAAAATACTACTATCTTGGATGATTTTATTTCATATGTTTTAATGAATAACATTTAGAATGCTAATGTTATACTAATGGGTTCCATTGGAAGTATGTTGACCTTATTTGAAGAGCAATTAAATAGTTGGCAAATATATTGCATACTACATGTTATCAAATTACTCTCTGCATATGATAGGGATACTTAAAGAGCTGTTTATCATATCACATTCCTTCATTTTGATCTAGATCAAAGCGAAACATTTAGAAAAAACAGAAACCTTTTTCAGTTAGCAAATAATTGATAAACATCAAGTTATGTTGGGTTTTTGTGATTTGTTTTCATACTGAAAACTGAAGAAAATAGGGAAGAGGAAAAAAAAAAAAAGACAAAAAACCCCATCTCCAAAATTAAGCAAGTAGGCAAAAGCCTACCCAAAACTACCCCATCCAGTTTGTGCTTATTTGTACTCTAATACTAGGAAATTCAAGGAAATGCATATGAGCAAGTGGAACAAGTGAAGATTAAGTTCCTGTCCATGCTGTTATTTAGCTAGATATGTCACAGGTTTATAAGCTCATGTAGTTTTTCTACTGTAACAAACCAAAGTATAACACAAATAAAATGTATAACCAGATAAGTCTGTTGTGACATTCCCAATTTACTTTTTTGCAATAGATTAATTAACTGTGACTAGGATAGTGATCTCTACTAGGTTAGGAAAAGATTGAGGACTGAACTACACCAACTGTTCAGTTTAAGTGCCATATGAATTTTTAGTCATTTTAATCAGGAGAAACCCAACAGTTTTATGCAAGTTAAGAGGATTTCTACATTCAAAAAATAAGTGATGTAGTATTCACGACAGTTTCCAAATGAAAAAAGAATAATACTACATTGACAAAAAAGGATTTCAGCTTTTCCAACAAATGTAGCAAATATTCATTTACTTAAGGTCACATCATCCACTTTCCATTTTATAAGTAAAATCAAGTTTCTTTTTAATTTCTGAAGGAATAGTGTTCAGTGGAATATCATTCCAAGACATCCACATTTTTTCAACTGCCTGCTTACTTATTAACTCTCTGGGCTGCCAGGATCAAAACCATGCAGAAACTTGGGCTCAGAGGCCACAAAACCCAGGCTTACTGCCCCCAGGTTTCCATAGCAAATGTCAAATGGTACTTTGTACCACTGAATCTGGACATCTGAAAATCCTTGTGGGGATTTAAGAGTTACTTGCCAGTAGTGTTCACACATTTCAAACTAGAAGTTTAGGGGTTCTCCCTTAAAAATGATAGAACAAAGCCTAAGAATTTAGATGTTAAAGTGATTTCATTAAGAACATTTTTTTTTTTAACCCATTTTGATTTTTTTTTTACCAAATTTTTTGTTTTCCTTATTTTTTTAAATAGATCAGTTCTTTTGGTTTTTAAGAACTTTTTCATTTCCCATGTGTCGTGGTTTGACATGGAAAGAGAATTTTTTCCGGAAGGAAGAGGTCAATTTAGTTATTGACCAATCTAAGGTAGACACGCCTCTGAGAACACAGAGGGGTTGAAAGCAGAATTCCCAGGGGAACTCGCTCTCTTTGGTTCCGGTCAGCGTGCAGTGCAAACCTCCCCTGCCCAGCCACGAGCTGGGTGGGGGAGGGGAAGCCCCCATGGCCTGAGAAAGGTAGGCCCCAAGGGTGGTGGAAGGACTAGAACCGGGCTGGCCCCTGAAGATGGAAGGGTGGAAGAAATCTGGGATGTCTCTGTTCCCCCCCTCAGAGTTTCTCTCCCGAGAGGGAGAGAGAAAGCCGCAAGGAAGGAGGAGCGGGGGGAGCTGCTGCAAGGTGCCCAGTGCGTGGGAGTTGCTGGATGTCCGGGCATCGAGCCATCCTGGGAGTTCAGACTTTTAACCCTTCCTTGAGAAATGAAAGCTTTGTGAATTTCCCTTTCCCCTCCTCGGTTTGAAAGAGAGGAAGAGGGACACCTTGGACCCTGGGATGGGATGTTAGAAGGAGGAATTCTGGATGGGAGGGGGACAAGGAGTGGCTTTTGGCTGGACTTTTCCGTGTTAGCCACAACCTGAACCAAATCTTCTCCGTCAAGAGGGACTGTGTTTTGGGAGGATGCCAGTGAGTCAAGAGACCTGCTTCAGCTGAGAAAAAGACAAAAGTGGAGTGAACAGAGAAAAGGTTAGGGGGTTTGTGGTGGCGTCCCCCTGCCCTGGAAAGGAAAGAGAAGAGAAGACGATCTCTGTTCTTGAGCCCTCGGCCCCAGGGGAAAATGGGGGGGACTGTGGTCCCAAACAATGAAAAACTGAACTGTTGTTTTCTCTCCTCTTGGCAGGGCATCCTTGAAAGGAAAAATCCTAAAAGCAGTCTGTCCATCCATGCATTTAGTTGTGAGAGCACTGTGCATGGAAAGGAGAAGGGTCACCATGGCAAACTTTTTCTCCGGGCGGTGCCATGTGTGACATGGAAACACAGGATGTGGAGCTGTGTTTCTTGGGGGGTCTGTGGCACAAGAGAGACTCTGTTCCCTCGATGGACTGAGTGTCGATTGTTTGGGGGGGGGAAACCTGATTGGGGTACAGATTGTATCACACTGTGGTTTGTTGGAGTTGGGTGGTGGGGGGAGGAATGATTTGCAAGGTTTTCATTTGGGTCTTTGTGTGTTTTTTTTTCCTCTTCTTTAGTTTTCTCTTTTCTTTTGTAGTAGTAGTTTAATAAAGTTTTTTTCTGTTATTAAGCTTGGGCCTGCTTTACTCTATTCTAGATTCCACTTCACAGCATTCAAGGGAGGGATCACATTTTCATGGGGGCACTGGCATTGTGCCAGTGTCAAACCATGACACCATGCAATGAAAATTTTGAGTTACATTGTTTCTGGTCTGAATGCATGAACAGATTTATATATAAACAGTGAAGTGTGTAACAAAGTAGAACTTTAACTTGTAAAGTTGAATGACACCTTTAACAATAAAATGCTTCTCAGATATTTAGCAATTAAATAATTCAATTTCAATGTACTTACAGGATCAAGAGACTTCCCTATGTGTAAACAAATCTATGTTTTGCCTCCTAAACCTCTTTTTACTTCAAAATTTGTTGTCAACATCCAGCAAAATTTGAGTCTTTTATTGGAACAGCATGTAAAACTAGTCATTCCTCTGAAGATAGACTTTGATCAGTCTAAAAATCCTTGAACTTGACATTCTGTGAAGGAGAAGGAAAAATAAGAAATTTACTTTTTAAAATGTGTTCTAGATTGATAGAGAAGTTCTCTATCAATGAGTGTTTCAGAGGTTTAGGCACAGCTTTAGTCTTCAAGTAAAGGAGTTTTGTGTTTTAGAAATCTGCAATCAGCTCACACTCAGTGGGTCGATGGAATAGAATCAGAAAACGCTGGTGGAACAACAGACAGAATTTATATAAACCTAGAGTTTATTAACCTGGTAATTGTATTTTAGCTGAAAAAATGGAAGAAGGAAGCAAGGTATTAATAAATGTATATATGTGCATTGCAAGATTTTATAGCCAAAATAACCCCCCCAAAATATAATACTGAGCTTTTAACTGATTCTTCACTGGGGAAATGAGGAATAGAATCTGTCAGTCATTAAAATGGAAGGCATACAGCACTGGGGCTGTCTGGAGATGAAATTGGATTTTTCTGTCTGGACTCTTCAGATTCTTTTTCATTCCACAAAGCAAATTGCTTTGCCTTAACTTTGTATTAAATAGGAAAGGACTCGCATGGCATAGGTAGTGCTAAACACTTATTAAGAACCATACAGTGCACCCACCACTGAACCCTATGCATCTGAATACCAGCTCTTGAAAAATGCTGGAATTTTTTCACAAATATTTTATACAAGTTTAGCTCTGCTTGTTTACACTGCCTTTATTGTATCTGCTGTGGAATTCTTTACACTACTTTTTTTTTATTTTCCTCACTTTTTCTATTTTATTGACAGCTACTATATTTTTACTGCAGGAAAAACAGATAGTATCTGCAAATTACTGCATTTAAAATAGAATATTGCAAAAGAACTTGAAGCTATTTCAAGCCTGCTTTTTGCTATACAGTTATCTAATAAACTGAACCTCCCTAGCATTGTACCAGTAACTGCACTGTCCTTTCATCTATTCGAGGGTAACTGCTGCCACATTATTAAAAAAAATTGCTACCACATACACGAATTCAAAATGCAAGATAATATATTCATTAAGGATCTCTAGCAGGTAGAAGTGCTCACATAATTTCCTCTTCAGCTCTTTTTCTAAAATAATTTATCTCTATCTTCCTCTTTTCTCAGTTGCTGTTATTCTTTACTAGTTTCCTGCTTTAACTGGATCATCTTTGAGCATGCTAACTTCAAGAGGTGATAAAATACTTTATTTCTTCTCAACTCAAGATGTTTCCTAGAGTTCACTTGTAGCATACAGGGAGTAAATAAACCCTTAACGGCATTTAGCACAGATAAACAAAATATGGGGCTTTCAAAATATAATTCCTGTGTGGGCAGCTCAAGAGAATTTTTTTTCCACTGAAAACACATTTTATGCTCTTTCTAAAGTGTGAAAAGACATATAACTCCCATAACTTAAAATCTAGGAAAATTTAGATTTTATACCACTAACCTATTTTAAAAACACAAACACATTCCATGCATTCCACAGCATACATTGCAGTTGAGATGGCCACAGCATGCAGAGCATCATCAGACAATTTCAGAAAGCTTCAACCCATACAGAGTAATACCAGACCACACCAGAAGGCTTCAGGCAGCTGCCCATACAGAGTAACACCACATCACCTCAGAAGGCTGCAAGCAGCTGCCCTGCTTGTTCTTCAGTCCATCCTTTTATACCCCTCATGTTCATGCATTGCACCTGTGTGCCCTCTGTTCCCTTTGGTGGTTGGTCAGTGCCCCTGGGCACTCCAGGTCTCATCACCTTCAATGCTGCTCACCTGCTCTTCACAGCTGTACCCACTGGGGATGAGGCTGGGCCCCAGCCCCACTCCCAATTAACACAAATTTTGTGCCTACAATATAAGTATTTAATTCCCTTGTAAAAATAAAATGTATATTTTGATAGTATAGGAGATTTTTTTTTTGTTGAAAGTAATTGTAGTGCTGAAATTTGTCTTTTCTATTTTCAAATGTATTTTAAAATATCCAAAAATAGATATTACTTACTTCTTGCTCCAAGAAGTATTTTAATATTTTATTCAGTTGAATCTTTTAAAGAGATTCTGTTCATCCACTAAAAAGTATGGTACATTAGATTTTTGAATATTTCCAGTGGGCAGACAGTAAGAAAAAAACCAGTATTTTTTCCCTTCCTATGAGTGATGATCCAGGTCTTTTCTGACCTAATACAAAACTGTGAGAAGAAATACTTCATCTTTTTTTACCTTTGATTATATCTCACCACTATCATTTACAGTCCCACCATCTCTAACCTGCAGTCTTTATTTTGATTTCATATTTTCTTCTATTTAATAATTAAAATATTAAGAAAGACTGAGGTGAGATTTACCCTCAGAAAACAAAATGAACAAAGTTTCTAATGGGATATTTCCTAGTAAGGTGTTGTGGTTTGTAGCCTGACACTGTTTCACCCTCTTTCATGTATCACTTTCATGTATCCCAGTTTTGTTTAGTCCTCATTTTTATCTTTAACCCATTATTATATTTTTATAATTCAAGTACCTTGTAGAAGCTGAAAAATATCTATCAAATGTTCTTATCTTTATCAGTTGGATTTACAATCTTGTCAAAGAAGAGCATCACCTTTTTAAGGACTCATTTCTGTGGGGCTCAGGATGCCTGAATGATTCCAGCTGGAATGAGTTTGTTTACACCAATCCTGCCAAACAGGCAATCAACAGCTCACCATTGAAACCAGCCATGCAGCAGAAATGTGTTCAGCTGCTGCTTCCTACCAGCTTCCTACTGCTTAGAGCATCCAGCAGCCAAAGACAACCAGCATAAAAATAATTACATCTGAGTATGTGATGAGCCCCACTCAAAAAGCACCTGGGATAATTGACAGAAAGAAGAAAAAATGTTGAAGAAAAGCTGTCAGACCATTAAGTTTCAGTGTTAAAGACTTAATAAATAATGTATCTTTATACCATCTGGGTGTTCATCTCTACACTTTCTGAACTAATAATATCTAAATAAAGTGAAAGTTTCTATTCCATGGTTCAAAAAAGGGCCATGGTGCAAAACAAAGTCTTTACTCTTTTTCACAGAAAAGTCACATATTTTTATACCAAATCTGTCATGACATATATGACATATATGTCATAACATTTACAGAATAATTGCAGAGAAATATAATATCCCCTATTAAACCAAAATATATAGCTAGAGGAAACAGGCACACAAACAGGACACATAAGCCTTTCTACTGAATGAAGTGTAGGCAACAAAAAAATTCATGTTGTAACACACTCAACAACTGCTTCTGCCAACACACCTGAGTGGGGTGGGACCACTGACAGTCCACTGGCTTTCAACCAGAACACAGTGGAGGTAATTGCTCTCATCTACAGACGGGACAGTGCCTCCAGTCTCTGTATTTATGTGTGGCCTCTGTGCAAGCAACTGTGCAACTGTGAGGCTACAACCTGACTTCACTTTTTCTATTTTATATTTACATTAAAATTTGATACTAGAAAATTATTCACTGTATATAAAGACGGATTAGGACTATCAATACTAGTAGTATTTTCTTATGTGGATGTAATTGATAGATAAATTTCACTCCTTCAACACACATCTTCTGTCTCTAGTCCACAGTCTTCCCTAGTTTTATACATCATTCTGGGCAGAATATCCCTGCTCTCAGCAGTGTGCATGGCAGTCATGGGGAGTACAAAAACATCTCTGTGTAAGACTCCAGGACAACTGCAAAAGCAGCTCAAAGAGGTGCCATCTTTTTTTGGAGTCCTGTATGTGTCATAAGGAGTTAAAGGACTATCCAAAGCCTTTGGTACAAACAGAGTTCACTGTCTCTATGCCCTTAAAAGAAAATCACATGTGCTACTACAATGTCTCCCCTTTGCTATCTGATGGCCATGTTGCAGAAGCCTAATTCCTGTTAGAAATCTCTGTAGATGGGAGCTTCTCCTATCATGGCTTTATCTTTTCTAGATGGTAAGCACGGTTTTCAAGTACTTTTCAAAGAATTTCCATGGCTTTGGATAGAGGCCAATTTGGCAAGAGAGTTCTGCAGAACTAATACAAAATGAAAAAAAAAAAAAAAAACCAGCTCTTTGAGGTCATTGCCAGCTGGCTTAACTGGTTACAACCTTTTAGTCACATGAGAAAACACCCTGGAGCCAGGTGGATGGAGATCAGAAGGGCATAAAGGCCATCTTACACATCCCTTCCATATCTGCAATTTGTAGACCTCAGAAAAATGTAGCTGATAGCTCAGAAATTTATGGATTTCTTACCATCTTAGCCAAAGTGAGGCCACATTTTTGGGAGGGCTCTGAGAATTCCATTGCAAAGTTTTATTGACCTAATTTACAAGGTGCCTTCACAGCAAGTGCAGCCCAAGGATGATGACTCAGCTTGGGACAGATGTGAGAGTCCTGGACAAAGAGCTATTCCAGAAATAAGGGCATGTGGAATATTCCTAGCATATGCTTTGAGGAACTCAATGTCTGCTTCAGAGGTGGATAAATGAGGAAAACAAGGTGGGAATGGTGGAAAAGAAAAATGGAGGTCTGTGAAGGTGTTAAAATGAAGCCTTAGGCAAAGCAACCTGGGAGTCTTTGTTGCCATTCTTGTTCTTTTCTCAACATGCTCACACACCATCTGTCCTCAAGGGAATTGTTTGTCAAGGGAATTTCAACAAGTTAATGGAATTCCTAACCACAGAGATGGTACTGGAGAAGGGAAGCAGACTGTGAGGCATATTTCTGGCTGAGCAGGTGTCAATACTGTCACTGTTCTGAGAGTGAACTGAAGTCTGTACTAAATGCTCTGCCAAACTTATCTTGTTGAATTTTAAAGTTCAACAACCCTAACTTATGCCCTGGAAAAAAAGTAGTTAACTTCCTCAATTAATTCTTAGCAATTATTTTAGAGTCTCTTCACCTTTCAAAGACATTGGTAACTAAGCAAATGAATGAAGCGTAGGTAAGACCTTTTGTGAGATTTACAATTAAAAAAAACAGGGGTGTTGTCTATTTTGGAAAAAAATCTAATACTGGAAAAAATTGTAGAGTGTTTGAATTTCCATGGTTAATTTTACTGGTATGGTGCTATTACCACCACCTGTGCTAAATGTGGTACTGGTCAAGTTATCAGTCACCCAGATGATGTGTTATTTCTGTATTATTTCCACTCCTTTCTTGGCCACAGCTTCTTTATGCACTTAATTTTTTTTTTCACACTCCAAAATTTTAGCACCATTTTATGCATCATTGGCAGGGCACTTCATTTTTTTTTCTGCAAAATAATTATACCTGAAAAAATGCATATTTTAATGTAATTTATTGCCTGTTAACAGAAGATTTTTGTCAAAGGATGATAAAGAATTAGTCAAACAGATATTTCTGATATGCAAATTAATAGGAACATGTGTTAGAAATAAGTATGTATCTTGGTAGGAGAAATTATAAGCAGTATTTTTATCTGATCAAAACTTGAACAAACAATGGGCTGAATGAAATTTGTCCTAGTGAATATACCTTCAAAGATTTTATGGTGACTAAGAAGTGTTTTATGACTGACTAATTAACAAGAATTGAGAGTGAAAATACATCATTGTTCTCAGAGTAATCCTGCTGGGAAACTTTCAATTAACTAAGCCTCGCAAACATGCTTTTCTAATTGATAGTTGGTAGGCTTAATCTTGTATGAGGCATTATTTTAAACTGGTTTTGCCTAGGAGTGAAGCAATTTATGGAGTGCTCAACAGAAATTATATAGATCTGTCTTTGCACAGGGGAACAGTGGATCCAAAGGCAAAAATATTTAATCTGACTGAATTTTTTAGAGCATAACCTGATACAATATTTAAAGCAGCTACAATATATGTAGCATTAGAACTACCCAGAAATTTTTAAAGGAACAAATTTTATGAGGGCCAGTGATCCTGAAAAAAAAGGGTTTCAGTACTATCAGCAAGGAAAAATGCCAACAGTATTTATAGCTGACTGATAGCAAAAGAATATGACTTGTATGAGGATAGATGAGCATCACACCAGGAGAGAGGAGGACAGCAAATCATGTTACTTATTTCTGAGTTTTGAATATTGGCCATAATAATCTGAACATTACACCCCATAAGCTATGCATTTGCACAGAATGCAGTCAGAAGGTTTGGTTTGTGTGTGTTTATAAAATTGACAATGTTTCTTTGCAGGATTTTTTCCCCAAGGTGTGTATGTGTGGAAAACAATTTCCAGATTTTCCAGCAGCCTAAAACACAACATGTTTATAACCTTCTTTTAATAAAGACATCTGGGAACTTGAATGTTCTACTCAGCTGGAAAGCATTCTCCCTAAGCCAAAGCTGTATCTACCAAAGAGATAAGCATCCAGTTCAATATCGCATATCATAATTGGAATATCTGCCAGTGCACTGGGCTACTGTTCAAATCCTTTTGTGCTGGTCTTTCTTATAGTTCAAAAGATTTTTTTTTTATTGACTTGTGTGATGTCAGTTTTCCAAAACAATTTTGACATTCAATATAAGAACAGCATCCAGACGTCAGTCAAAATACTTTTAGCAGATGACCGAAATACTTTTCTAGCCAGAGAGTTACTAACTGGCAGAGGGTGTTCAGTCTTTGCAGATATTGGTGTCAAGCAAGATACTTTGGTGACAAGACCTCTGGAAATTCATGGACAAGACGTAGTTGAACTAAAATACAGTGTAACATTTTTGATATCCATTAAAACCATATAACGCTCAGGATGGCAGAGGTAAAATGCGAGATTTTTCTATTCACTCATTAAGAACTTTGACCACTTTAACCTTATCCCAATTGAGAGAAGTGGATAACACTGAGCATGTTGATCAGCAAACAACTGATATTTTCAGTTTAATAATTGTACCACAATTAATTAATTGACAGTGACTTACTTTTAATTGAACCCCCTCTTCTTTGTTGCTACCAGCTCACATGAAAGTGAAATGTGACTAGAAATGTGACTAGACTAGAAATTGTAAAAAAATGTAAAATCTACATATATAATATATATTATGCAATTGGATTAAATTTCTTTATTTATTGTATTTCTAGTTCTGTTGTTTAATTTACAATTTGGATTTAAATTATTTAGGATGAATATGCAAAATTTAAATTACTGAGATTTAATGTCAGAATGTCAGGATAAAATGATCCATACAAAATGGCAATTTTTGACTTGTTTGGAAATCAGTAGATGAGAAAAACCAAGAAAAACTCATTTATTTAAAGGGATTAATGTAGATTGTTCAGAGCTGAATTTTTAGACTTACAATATGAAAACTGTTAGGGGATTGAATTTTTTTTTTGCTTCTTAGTTCCCCCTGTCCCTCCTGATGGCTGATAACATTATCTTCTTTGTCACTAGTTTTCATAGCCTGTATATATAATTTCTTCTTTCTGTTATCTCAAATAGAGGGTCCATGTTCATTTCTTGCACCACAATGTTTTTAAGGTCAGATCTCCTTATTTTTATACACATTTCTAAAATTTTGTCCAGTAAAGAGGCTTAATCTAGATGAGATGATCAGATGAAATAGTTATAGAGTAGTAGCAAGTACTTTGATGTCATTCAGGCTTTTAAAAAATCAGAAATCAAAGTCAGACAGTGCAAAGGGGGAACAATAGTGTTGCATAAAACCACCAGACTCTCTTTTGATGACACTAAGAAACTCAGTTTCAAAGATGCTTACCCTAGTAAAACTGCATTTTTTGCTTGGTAATCCAGGCTGTAACTATAACAGTATTTTAAACTGCTTTGAACTCAGTGCTGAGTTGGGAGTCTTTTAAAGGTCTACACTTCCAAAGGGTGAACAGATAAAGTTTCTGTTAGCCAGTCACGAACTTTTGAGTTTTCAAAGTAAGAAAACAAGGCTTAAGCTCAACTTTTGTCTACAACCACAGTCTACATTAACAAATTGTCCT